TTTACTGCTATTTATTCCCCTTTATCATGATAAAGTCAGTTCATATACAACTAGATCAAAAATCTCCAAGAAAACAAAAAACTAAAATAAAAAAAAGGTATAAAGTAAATAAAAATAATGTCAAAACATATCCAACATTTTTCTATCAAGATCGTCAACATTATCATTGTCATAGTAGTTGAGAATGATTTTAGGCTGCAATCTTTTATCATTATGTTAATGTTCAATCATCCAATCTTGTTATAAATTGATATACTTTACTACCATTGATATGTTCGTAGTTGTCCCACTCTAGTTGAGAAAGAATTAAAATGAGCGTTGTTGACTTCATTTTTATCACATTGGACTAATACAAACATTTCCCTTTTGTCTGGTGCAGCCAGGTTGGCCAAAATCAGAAAAATGCTCATTTTTGGCTTTGTGTGGTCACGCCAGGCCTAGGCGTGACCACGCCGTAAAGTACCTCGGCTTGGTCACCCCATGCCAGACGTGACCACGCTCGGAAGTTCCTAAATGTGGTCACGCCAGCCTTGGGCGTGACCACACCAAGACAAACTGACTTCACATGTCAGCGATCCATGGCCTTCATCCATGGATCAAGCTACGAATCATTGCGGCCTTTCGCTAGTATCGATCCGCGTTTCTTCAACCAGCAGATTGATCATCATCATCGACTCTCCACCTTATTCGACGGCTCCTAAGGGCTCTGCCACCGCCTTCCGAGACTATAAATAGGTGGCCTTTGGGAGAGCATCCATGCAGTGATCGATCTTAACTTTGGGACTTTTAAGCTTAGAGAAGTAAAGGGATTCCGGCGAGCTTCTTCCTCCTCCCCCGGTCAGCCTCATTTCCTCCCAATAAGTTCTCCCCACATCCTCCTTTTAATTTAAGCATTTTGTCAAGTTTTAAGTTGATTCGAGGTTAAGATAGAAGCCCTTGGATTTTGCTTGGTTTTGCTCAGGTCGACCCGAACCTGACCTAACCCAAACACACTTAGCTAAACCCAATCCTAGACCTTACCCAACCTTAGTCTAGCCTAAACTTAGCCTACACTATACCTAACGCAACCTAGGTCGAGCTTAAACTTAGTCAATCCTAGACCTAACCTAACTTAGGTCGAGCCTAAATTTAGTCAATCCTAGAACTAATTCAACCTAGATTTAAACTAAACCTAACCTAAACCCTAGACCTGACATAACTCATGTTTAACCATAATACTAGACCTAACCCAACTCAGGTCAATCTCAAACCCAAACACTACACCAAATCCAACCCAGGTCTAGCTAACACCTTAACACTAGACCAAGTCCAACTCAGGTCTAGCTAAAACCTTAACCATAACCTAACCCAGGTCTAACCCAACCCCAAAACCAAACCTAACCCAGGCCTGACCAAACCTAGAACTAACTCAAAAACTGAGCCAACCCAGCTCTAACCCAAAACCTAACCTAACCCCGACCGACCCAACCAAGTCCTGACCCAAACGAAACCTAAACTAAACTAGGTCAACCTAGCTTAACCCAGGTCAAACCCAAACTCAACCTATGTGAACCCGACTAAACCCAACTAAATTGGAGTCAAACCCAAACTCAACTTAAGCTAACTTGAGTCAACCTTGCTCAACCCGGGTCAAATCCAAAATCAACCAAAGCTAACCCTGGACAACCTAGCTTAACCCTAGTCAAACTCAAATCAAACCTAAGTCAACCCACATCAATCCAGCTTAACCGAGGTTAATCCAAATCAAACCCAGCTTAATCTGAAGAAGCCTAGTTCCAATCCAGACCCAAGTTAGCTAACTCATTACTTTAGCTCTATTTTTAGCTACTCTAAGTTGGAAGGTTTAGCTTACCTTAGCCTAACCTTAACCTACGTCTAATCTAAAGCAAAAATAAATGTTATTTCATGTTGTATATGTTATTTCACATGTCATCTCATGTTCCATATAGTATCTAATGTTAGGCATGTTATCTTATGTTTTAAATGTTATTTCATGTTTAAAAACAAAGAAAAAAATAACGAAGATATATAAAACAAATCCGAGGATGAGAACTTCTCAATTTTCTCTACAAACATCAAAATTTAAATAAAAACAAAACTCAAAGTATAAAAAACCCCTGATTTCTCAAAATGACAGACAAAACCTAAGAAAAAAATTAATGCAAATATTGAATTTCAAATAAACATCTAAAACACACCACGATAAAGACCGAGAACTGAACCTAGGCAGATCCGACATGAACTTTAGGCTAGTTAACTTAGATATTGAACTGAGGGCTACACACTTACTGCAGGTTAGTCTGAGTATAGATGCCTAAGCTACTTCATGTGCCTAGTTAGTGCAATGGACGAGGACATGCAAAATAACCAAAGTACCCTCTAAGACTAGATGGAATACCCCCGAACGTGTTTCATATAGCTTCGAAATTACAAATCCTACATACTCTGACATTCAAGGGGGATCCCTTGTAATGAGGTTGGTCATAGTCGACAGATGCCAACATTCCCTTAACGACGAAAAGCCATAAGCATCTTGACTGGGGATGTTATTCTTAAAAATTTAGATTAGTGCGCCTATAAAAATCCTTATAGAGCCTAAGGTTTCAATGTTCATCTAGAAATCTTTTCCCACAAGACTCTATCCTTAGCTTAGGGTTTCCTATCAATCCTGTAAGTTAAATCTGTCATTTATCTTTGAGTTCAAACTTATCATTTTCTCCTTTGATTGATTCCCTTAAAACAAATCAAATCCTTTGTCTTGGACCTTTCCCATGGCGTGTTGTCATCATATTATAAGTCACTTCCTTTGGACTTAATTCTTCCAATTTTGGACCCTCCAATCATGAAATTTTGATTTCTGGCAATTTGACTTATTGTATTAATTGGAGGTTTTCTTTAGGGCTCACCACTCTAAAGATGTACTTAACTACTAGGGCTTGCCCTTGTAGGAATGATGCCCATAATTAATATAAACCTTACCTTACACTTGTAGGGTAAGAGAGGAATATTGGTTCCGTAGACCCCAAAGATTTTCTTCATCCGAATGACTGATCCATTCTGATATAATATTTATATCTCTCGAGATAACATATTACTCTCTGAATGTCGTATTAATCATTTAGACATGAACCTTATATTACTCCCCAAATGTTGTATTAATCATTTACATTAAAATCTTACTAAATCTATGGTGGCCCTTCAGAAGAAAAGTCCCCCACCAAGGTTTCTTCTGCTCGACTACGCTAGGGAATCATTCCCCTCTCCATCTTTTATGATAAGTTCAGTTGCCCATTCTTCCATAGGATTCTTTATAAGTCCATCAAACTAATTTAAATCTCTAGGTCCTATCTTGTATCCCAAATCTTCATATTCACTAGACCTCTCATTTAAACTCTGTTTAATGAGTAGATTTTAGGATTTATGAACCTCTTTGCTTGTGATTCTGAGCCTTAGTTTAGTTTAGAGCCTCCTGATTTTACTGTTCAAGTTTATTTCTATCCTTTAATAATTTCTACTAAAAAAAATGTTTTAATCTAAAATTCTGTGAGAATAAAATTTGAAATAAAGTTTAATATTTCAAATTAAAATAAAAAAGTCTTTAAAGCTAAAACTCTTTGAAAATAATAATTTGAAAAAGATAGAACCCAAAATTCAAACTGAAAAATGAAAACCTTTAAAAGCCAAAGTATTTTGTTGTTCACCTTGTGGATGGGGTCCAACTTCAAATCGTTTTATTAAATTCCCTTTCAAATAAGTTTAATCTTCAATTCATTAAATTCAGATATTCAAGTGTAAACTTCCTATAAACATTCTTTCTTCTATCCTTATTGAAGGTCCCTAGAGAATACCTGAGAGAATGCAAATAAAAAGATCCGTCAATGTTGTCTTTGGTGCAAATATGAAACTATTTGACCCCTAAGCAAAAGAAGAAGAATAAAATGTCGTCCTATCCAAGTCACCCTATAAAGTCAAGGTCCAAATCAATCAGTTGTCGACATTCTAACTGTAATTCATTTACAAAAAAATGTCATTGATATAACCAAATCTTTTATTTGAAACCAGTCTTAGTTCAAACTTTATTAATGACTTTATCATGAAACTTTGTTGAAATTTTGTTGATTGAAATATAATTGATATTGGTACTTTTGATTTTTATAAATATAAGATTGTTGCCAAGTGTTGACCTCATTTTTTGTGAGGTCTAAATTCTTCTCTTTGGATATAGTCATATGACTTTTCTCTTGACTATCCTAGAAGACTAGCAATGAGACCCACCCCACTTAGAAATATGAACACTCCTAAACTCCCCTTAAGTCTCATGTGTGTGGTTTCAAATTTTTAATATCTAGTTGAATCGATTGGAACCAACATGTTGAAAGTTAAGGCGAGTTCTTATAAGTATTGAGAGTGCCCTAAGACGACCTTTTGAACTTAGGAGCTTTTGTTCCTCGACGCACCACAATTTACACAATACACACATAAACACCATAATCCACACATAATTCACTATCTAAAATCTAAAATCAAAATCAAAAATTAAAAAATGAAATGAAAACCCTCTTAATACAAATTTGAGATTCTTCGACATTGGTTGACCGACTCACTGTCGAGATCATTCTGCTTGACATTGGTTGTCGTTTAGGCGAGGACCGGTCGACGTTTCACTTGACAGATGATTCCGATCAACTCAACAAATTGCATTTGCCACGCTGTGCGCATGCCAAATCAAATTGACTCTATAGTCTACAAACTTGTCCAGATGATCCCAGATGACGAAACGGATCGCACATGTGTGTCCGGAACGTCAATTTTACTAAAAAAATACACCCATATTGACATGATTTGGTGCATGGACAAAAATCACATAAATTGAGAAATTTAATTTAAAATTAAAAAATTAAAAAGTGGTAATAAAAGAACTTAATTTAAAAATAAAATAAAAAAAGAAATCTCCTTTAAAACCTCACGCCACTCCTGTGGACGATGCTCTAACGGCTCTCTGGACACCCCCCTCACCCGTTCGATGGAAAACCCTAGCCGTTATCCCCCTCGCAGCGGCTCTCCTCCCATTTGGATGCCCTCACGGTTCTCATCCGCTCGACCGATCCCATTCCCCTCTCGAAGGCTCTCGGGTTTGGCCACCTCTCCTTCTTTTGAGTCTTCTCCTCTCAAAATGGCGATAGGGTTTTCGGCCTCGAGAGCATAGAGTATGCCGTCTGTGTTCGTTTTCTAATCTTTACTACTACCTGTCCTCGGCGAGTCAACGTGGGCTCGATTGCTCGGTATGCTTGTTGGTTGCCCTATGTTTTTGTTTTTTTGTCTAATAGTTTTGCTGGTTTGCTCGAAGTTCTTGTTGGTTGATTATTTGGCTGCCGAGGTGTTTTTTTTTTCTTTTTTTCTTCCTTTTTTTTTGAGTATCATTGCTATAATATTTCAGATTTGGTTGCAAGCTTAGGCATTTGTGCTGGAGATTCTTGGGCTTCTGAGCTTTAATACACGTGCTAAGGATAAATTTTAAAAAATGGCACTATATTTGCTCCTTTTAAGGGGGAAAAATTTGCGTACGTAAGATGTACGCAGCGCTGCGTACGATAGCCAGTAGGAGAATGCAGCGTATGTTGCGGCGGTCCCACCGCGTTTAAATTATCAAAGAAATAGGAATTTTGCAATGCGTGACCCGTCGACCTAGCCCGCGACGATAACTCGATTGTATACCCCCGTACCCTTCCAGTATCTCCCGCAGTCGGCCTCCTGTAATGCGGTTGTAACCCCATTTGTAACCCAGGTGTACCCTTCCATTAAATCCCGCGGTCAGCCTCTTGTAATGCTCTTGTAACCTCGATGTAATCGATGTGTAACTTTTCCCACTCAAACCGCGATACCGCGTGTACAACCTCATTGTAACTTCCGTATAATCTCGTTTAGGGCGGAACGAGAGGTATACCATTTGTGTAACTCCATTGTAACCTCAATGTAACAAAATATTAATCCCGTCACCGCAGAACCGCACGTTTAACCCTCTTGTAACCCCTTAATTACGTAATTGTAACCTTTGTATAACCTCAACCTTTGTATAACCTCAACAATAGTGATAACCTCAACAATAGTGTTTTATAACCTATTAAGCCGTGGTAAAAATTGGAAGCCAGACAGTAACTTTTCATTTTGGAAAAACAGGCATTCGCGCGCCGCTAGGGTTATCTTCGTCGTCTTCCTTTTAAAGGTTAGGGCACTAGATTTCAGATTGCTTTTATGAAGGAACATTAGAATGAAAGAGGACATCGTCGAGACTACGAAGACGGATTTGGAAGTGACCAATGTCGTAGATTTGTGAGACATTGAGAAGCCAGAATGCGAGGAGACACCACAAATGGTGAAGGGCAGTCGTAATGAGTCAAAAAAGGTGAAAGATAGTGAATCTATGTATTTTTAAGTTTTGTTTTCCAATTCATAAAGTTTGGTTATGTTGTTAGGTTTTATTTTTAAATTTACCAACTTTGTCATCATTTGGATTTTTATTGGATCTTAAACTATTATGTTGTATTATTGTAGGTTTTTTAACGCAAAATCAATGAATTGCAGATGTCGTCAATCTGTAGTACGAGAAGTCCTCGATAAGGTCCGACAATCAGTGAACAAGGAAATATGAAATAAATTAGAAGATATGAGTTTAACTTAGTTTTTTGAACTTCCTCCGTACCCTTAAGATCATATTCTGACAATGCATATAATAAACTGTTGGAATATTGATCGAATGACATTCAACTTCAGAGAGAAATAACTCAAGTTTTATGCAGACGAAGTTGCACTCTTGATAGGCATGCCCAATAGAGGGTTACTTGCATGCTGGAGTAATGCTCCGCCTGGTAGTATTGATGCGAGACAAATAAAGACCGCACTACTGAAGTATTTACCAGGGGAGTCATCGAATACCTTTTTGCAATTATTAATAAAGTTTTTATTGTCACATTTACTTTTTCCTTCAAGTAACTTCAGAATGTTGAAAGAGTTGTTCTCTATTTGCGAGGATGTAGAATCTTTTATAGCTTATAATTGGCCAGCTATAGTATGTGAATTTTTGACCGAACAATTGAATGTCTGTGTCACAAAAATAAAGAAAGATCAGCTACTGAGATACATCACTGGTTTTGTCTCCCATCTAACGGTTTGTGTTCTGCATATAATTCTGAAAAGTTCAATCCATAATTTTAGACATAGCAATAAATTATTTTATCATGTTCATGCAGCTCTGGTTTTATGAGCATACGTCGTTGGTCCTCCCAGCTGTGCCTGAGGCTAAACTACGAATGCTGAGATGACCACTAAATGTGTGGTGAAATTTGGTAAAGATTTAACTAGCCTTTAAGAGGCTCAAAGCCGCTGATGTGAGTTATTTATTTTCTTGCCCTATAGAAAATTTTATTATGATACCGTGATGCTTTCATTGACTTTGATTGTATGTAATGTCTTATAGGTTTTTGATTATTACCTCGAAATAAAAGACAACGAATATCATTTACTTACCCATCCTTTTGAAGAACCATCCAGTCCTGCAAAGCATCTCCGACAACTGGAGACTCGACCACATTCTCCCACGTTCGTTGAGGATTCTGCTATAGTTCCTTATCGCACTGGTTCTCAACCAATACATGCTGATACATATACAATTACTAGCCCTCATATTGATTTTGAAGTAATACATGAACTACTTAATGATCATCATAAATTGTTCATGGCCTTTTAAGGCTCAGTTGACACTCGTCTGACAAATATAGAAAATACAATTACAAAGTTAAAATATGAAGTCAAAGATTTACATAAAGCAATAAAATAACCTGGTGGAAAATTTTCAAGAAAACGGGTCAAAGAATCCCCACTAGAATGCTTAATTCATAGGATTAAGCTAAGAGGGAGTAAAAGAAAAATGATTCTCAGTTCCTATTCATGGTTTTTGAACGGAATAAAAAAAACCAACACAGGAGGCTGCTGAAAAGGCTAGAAAGATATATACTTTTCCAAAGCATTATTCAATAGATTTCTTGTTTGCTAATATAATTAACATCTATTAATTACAGGTTGAAACTGTAAATAAAAGTGGAAGCAAACCAATTATATCAACCACCATCTGCTAAAGAGGAGGCAGAAGATGTAGATAAGGGGGAATCAACAGCTTTGGAGCTTACTATAAATGACGACATTAATGCTGATCAACTAACTATACATACTAAAGAAGCGGCAAAATTTGGAGGCAAAGAGGAAGATCAAGAGCAGGTGGACAGACAATATGTTGATGAAGACTATTCTGATAAAGTATATAATTTTTTCTTTAACTTTTTGTATTACAAATTTTAATATTCAAACTATACAATGTTATTTGCTTGTCTTATAGGTCTGTCCAGCACTATTGGTGGTCGATTTTACCGCTAGGCAACAAATTTTAGATTATATGCTGGAAACAATCGACCTCTGTTGTAGCAAATTCATTAATTTGTTAGTGTACCATATTTTTTAATTGGTTTCATTTTTATACTTTTGTATAAATTTGACATAAATTTTATATATTTGAAATGCAGAGTTGATTTAGTGATTAATATGAGACATTTGTCGTTAACTCGACGTTACCTTGATAAACTCCTCACGGAGGGTTGGTTAAGAAATAAACAAGTTGATTGTTTTGCTATGTTGATGAAAAATAAGAGATGTCACGCACCACATCTATATAGATCGTTCTTATATGTCTCTTCATGTCACTGGGTAAATTTTGCAATTCTTTCGTCCTATAATGCACCTAAATACATCTAATATGACTATTTGTTCTTATGTGATGTCTCTATTTATGCAGCTGTACAAAGTTGGAAATGTTAAAGGATTTGTTCAACACATTACGACTGATACTGTTGCGAATGTCGAGTTGTTTCTTCTACCAATAATAAATAATCAGAATTGGACACTACTAGCTGAAGCAATCAACGAGCGCAAATGAAAATTATATGACTCCTTACCCAACATAATGCATTTGAATATCACCGACGCCATTGTAAGCGGACAATGTTAATTGTTTTATGCATTAGATGTCTGTAAAAAGCTGAGTTTCAGTTGTAATGCATGGTTGTAAAAAATTTGGTTATATTTTTGTTGAACGAATTGAAAGTTTTTTCCCACCTATGAGACCTTGGTTCTGATGTTAAGCTGGACCTTCTCTGTAATTAAATGATTCTGAATAGTTGTAAAGAAATATGTTTTAATTGTACTGCATAGTTGTAAAGAAATACGTTTTAGTTGTACTGCATGGTTGTATGAGATTTGGTTGTACTTTTGTTAATAGCTGTTAGAGCTTTTTTCCCACCTAGGGGATCTTGGTGCTGTTGTTAAACATACTTTAGCTGTAATGTTAATAGAAATTATAAAAAAAATTATTATATTCGACTATTGTTGCATTATGCTGGCGTAAACAGAGTTTTTTTCTCTTCGAGGGGAACTACAAAATGTTGATGTCAGTTTCAGTCATGCATTGCATATTTATGAAGGTTAAAGATAATTTGAAGATAGTTTTATGCTCATTCAAATAGTTTTATGTTATCCAATTAAAATTTATTCACATAGAATTGGAATCACAATAATGAATATAAATTATACATCAAAATGTCAACATCACATAACACATTATCATCTGGATAAAGAAGATTCAGTAGTTATCTGCCAGTACATCTGTCATCTTGAGCCATATCCCAAGCGATGGAAATATACTAACAAATTGGCTAACGAAGGAGAATTGTCTAATTTGAGTCTATTGTATATAGATATCTAAATGTAAGAATGTATACATTTTTATTCATGAGGATTCTTTGAATCTTCCGCATTTTAGTATATCTTTATCAAAATTCTGCTAAATTTTACCACATGGCCTTCTCATAATTTAATAATCATTACATAACTTTCTCATTTTACCACTCAATGATCCTCAAAATATTCAATATATAAAATAAATCGAATTTTTGCAGTTACAAGATTACAAAATATAGAGTTCCAGTTACAGGATTACATTGTTTACAAATTTGAATTTCTACAACTGCACAAATCTAAATTTCTGCATCATAGGAGCAGATCTCTGCATTGTTATGATTTTCTGCAATGTTATGATCATGTGCAACATCATCTAGTTCCAAAATTACTGCATTGTAAGCATCTTTTACAGCACTAGACTTTCTTCTTGGATAACACCCAAATATGCAGTTCCAGGACCAAAATGTCTGTATGGTAAGGGTAAGAATAAGAGCATATC